CGAGTCCATCGATACCAGTCTTCAGCAAATACAAGAGACCCTGGAACGCTTCACGCACAGGGGTTCCTGGTGGGCTGTCAACATCAAAAACAGAGGGGACGATTGAATGAGGTTAGCGATCAGGTCAGCCTTGTTTCCAGCCAACGTTAATTCGAACATGCCTTCTAGCTATCCCCAAAATGATGGACTCAACTGGGCTGGTATAGACGAACCCACCCCAATATCCCAGGTCACCAAAATCGAGAAACAGAATGATATAGCCGTCAACGTCTTTGGGCACGAAGGCAACAAAACGATCGTGCACAGGATCAGCCCAATGGAGGGTCGCCGCGTGATCAATATATTCATGATCCAGCGAGGTGATAAATACCACTACGCGTGGATTAAACACTTCAGCAGGCTGTTGTACGACCAATCGGCACACCGAAAAAAGAAACACTTCTGCGAACGGTGCCTGCACGGTTTCACCCGACCCGAGCTGCTGGAATTCCACCGGGAGTATTGCCTAGGTTTGGGCAGACGGCCATACGAATCGACATGCCCAAGGAAGGCGACAATATCCTAAAATTCGACAACCACAAGAACCAGCATCCGTACCTTACATCATTTACGCCGACTTCAAAGCCCTCATGAAACCCGTTGACATCAGCCCGACTCCCAACACATACAAAACACAGGAGCACGAGGCCTGTGGGTTCGGATACGTGGTCGTCTGATGTGATGGGGAAACGAAAGCTCCCGTTGTGTACATGGGTACCTTTCCCGGCTGAAAAGTTTCTAAAGTGCTTGCAGGAGGAAGAGAAAGCCATCAGGAAGAAATTGTACAATGTCGTCCCCATGCAAATGACCCAAGCCAACCGACGAGCCCACGGCTGCAGCACTCACTGCCATGTGTGCGATGGCCCACTGAACGGCAGTTCGGTGAGAGATCACTGCCATGTCACCGGTGAGTACAGAGGCGCCGCTCACAGCGCATGCAACCTCAAGCTCAGAATCAACCCCAAAAGGATCAACATCCCCGTGGTCTTTCACAACTTGACAGGGTACGACTCCCACTTGATCATGCAGGCCATCGCGAAGGTCGACGGCAACCTGACGTGCATCCCCAACAACATGGAGAGATACATCTCCTTCTCCTGAACGGCCTGAGGTTCATAGACTCAGTTCAGTTCCTGCTGTCGTCTCTCGATAGTTTGGTCAAAGCCAACGATACCTTCCCCATCACTGATCGATACACTGACGCCGAGACTCGGCCCCTGCTGATGAGGAAGGGTGTTAACCCCTACGATTACATGGATGGCTGGGCCAAGTTCGCCGAGACCCGACTACCCCCCATCAGGGAATTTTACAGCAACCTGACCGACTTGGCCATCACCCAAGACGATTACTCGCACGCGATTAACGTATGGAATAAACTGGGCTGCAAGAATCTGGGCAATTACCACGACCTGTACTTGAGAACGGACATGCTCCTGCTGGCTGACGTGTTCGAGACGTTCAGAAAGACGTGTTTCAAGCAGTATCAACTCGACCCCGCGTGGTACTACACCAGCCCCAGGCTCTCTTGGGATGCCTTGCTGAAGAAAACCGGAGATAAGCTGGAACTCCTCACCGATTACATGCACCTGTTCATCGAGAAAGTATTGCAAGGTGGGATCTCCATGGCTGCCAAACGCTACGCAAGAGCCAACGATAAGTACGTGAAGGGCTACGATGCTAGCAAACCCATTAATCATCTCCTCGACGCCAACAACCTGTACGGTTGGGCCATGAGCCAGTATCTACCCACCTGGGGATTTCGAGTGGGTGCCTGAGATAGACGTCATGAGCATACCGCCGGATTTGGGGGTAGGTTACATACTCGAAGTTGACTTGGAGTACCCAACAGCATTACATAAGTCACACAACAGCTACCCCCTGGCCCCAGAACGTTTGATGGTGAACCCGGACTGGATGTCCGACTACCAACGGAGGGTGGGGGGTAATAAGCTAGCCAACGTTGAAAAACTCGTACCCAACTTGATGAACAAGACCAAGTACATCATTCACTATTGTAACCTGCAGCTGTACCTGTCGCTGGGTATGAGGCTGACTAAAACCCATAGGGTGCTCAAGTTCGACCAGAGCCCGTGGATGGAGCCCTACATCAGAATGAACACAGACCTGCAAAAGCTGGCCACCAGTGTCTTCGAGAAGAACCTCTACAAGCTCATGAACAACTCGGTGTTCGGTAAGACAATGGAGAATCTGCGAAAACGCGTGACCATGAAGCTGGTCCGGTCGAGAGAGGAAGACAAGCTCAGGAGACTGATAGCCAGCTCGGCATTCAACCAGAGCAAGATATTCACCGACGATCTGGTGGCCCTACATATGAGGAAGAGCCACATCAAGTTCAACCGGCCTGTTTACGTGGGGATGAGCATCCTCGACTTATCCAAACACCTGATGTACGACTTTTACTACAACGAACTGATGAAACAGTACGGCGACAGGTGCGAAGTGCTGTACACGGACACGGACTCCCTGCTGATGGAGATTCGAACCGAGGACGTTTACAAGGGCATGGTAAAACACATCCATTTATACGACACCAGTGACTACCCCAAGGACCATGCCATGCACAGCACGGTTAACAAAAAGGTCCTCGGTAAGATGAAGGACGAGTGTGCTGGCACGCCCATAGCAGAGTACACAGGCTTGAGACCCAAGATGTACTCCATCCTGAAAGCCGACAATAGCGAGATCCTGAAGGCGAAGGGTGTCAAGAAGTACGTGGTGAAACAACACTTCAAACACGCCAGGTTCAAGGTGGCCCTGTTCAGGGCCCGCACCTTCAAGCATCAGATGAACACGCTTAAAAGCGACACAGGATATACAGACTGACGATAAACAAGACGTCCCTGTCGCCGATGGACACGTAGCGTTGGATAGCCATCGACGGGATCAACACGTACGCATACGGGCATGAGAAAATTGAACCAAGAACATAGGTGTATATACGATGTCACGGAAAGAGAGAAAGTTTGAAGCTATTTGCTACAGCCCGCGTGGGTACTGGAAAGGAGCGAGCGCCATACATAAGCTTGCCGAAATGGCGAGAGTGCCCCCAGACGAGGCCAAAGCGTGGCTTGAAAAACAAGCCTTGTGGCAGATCTATTTACTGGCACCACGCTACGTGCCTAGAAGAAAGTTCGGTATTACTGTACCCAATAGCGTTTACCAGGCCGACCTCCTGTTCCTACCCCACGACAGGAGGTAAAAGTATGCCCTAATCGTCGTGGACGTGGCCAGCTGCTACAAAGAAGCCGAACCCTAAACCGCGAAAGACTCGGCCCAGGTAGCCCGCGGATTCGAACGCATATACAAGCGCAGCCCGCTGACATGGCCCACCGAACTGCAAGTCGATCCCGGACGGGAGTTCATGGGTGCCATGTTACAACTGCTAGCCAAGCACATCGTCCAGGTCAGGCATGGCGCGGCCGGGGCTCATCGCAGTCAAGCCATCGTTGAGAGATTCAATAGGACTTTGGCCGGCGCTTATTCGGACACCAGTATGCGAGAGAGATGGCCAACCTGGGAAAATGATCTATGGAATGGGTAGCACGGCTACCTCAAGTGGTGTCAGCCAACCGGGAGAACATGAAGGGGACACTCGGAAACGAGCCACCGACCCAACATGGTCAGTCAGAACTTACAACGTAGATAAAGTGGACATCAAAGCCGACGAGCCGAACTTGTACTACTTGAAAGATGGACCAGGGAGAGGTTTCGTTAGAGAGGAATTATTGGTCATACCATACGACACAATGTTACCCCCCAAGCAAAATATTTAACACTTACCTTACCAAATAATCCCAATGGTATCCTGTAACCAGCTCACATTCAACTGTTTCCTGTCAACATGACATAGGGCGATCACAATAGTGCCACGTGATCAGGAAAGTGTTGGTTCGCGTTCATAGTGACCAGGAAGTTAACTGGGGGGTTCAAAACTGGTATATACAATAGCGGGGAGAGATAAGGGCCTGACAAAAGCTTTATTTCGTGAATGAAGGTTTACAGAGGCTTTTGTTGGAATTTATCTAGTACCCCCATTGTGTATACTACTTTAGTCCCGGGGCTTATCGGCCGGGACTGGATCGGTCTATTGATAAACAAATTGTATCTATTGTTTCAGGGCATATTGTCAGGTGATTGGTTCACTTTTGGGGGTCATGCTGCAGGTGTATATTTACGTGTTTTATCATGTCAGTTAAATGTTTATTTCTCAGGTCGTATTGTCAGCTGCTTGTTGTATTGGCTCAGACCATGTTTTCATTTCAAACTGATTGTTGTTTTTAAGGTCTTGCACAAGTTTCCCCATATTTCCTTCCTTTTAAAGGTATCAGTTGACTATTGACTGCATTAGATCTTGTCATTTGCTTCTTTTGCTTCTGTGATGTTGCCATTTGATTGTTTGAACATGTCAGGTTTTATAATCATTTATTGTATTTTAGTCCATAATTTATTGTTTATATACCAATTCGGTGACACTGACAATTATGAGTATGGCTCTAGCAATTGCAGGATTGTGATCAGGCTATACTGATGAGCATAGCTTTCGCAATCGGCTAGCACTTAATGGCAAAAGATTATACAGGCACTTCCGGTTGAGCCGATGTGGCACCGCAACCACGAGAAATGGTTGCATGATGTATAACCCGCTGTATACTTATACATTTTCTCTTTAATAAACATGTGTCTACCATTGCCTCTATAGTGTCCCCAAACGATGACTGCTACTGACCCATGTCCGAGTATCAGAGTGGTCACATGTAGAACGTTTACCACCGCTTCAAGCTAATGCTCATTTTGTAATTCTTTCTCTGACAGTGTCGTCATAGTGTAGACTCACCGCTACTTAAACAATGTCCAAGCATCAGGATGGTCCAATAAGGAACTTTTACCACCACTTTCAGCTAATGCTGATTTTGAAACTTATTCTCTATCATTGCCTTCAGTGTGTCCACTCAAGATGACCGCTACCTACCCATGTCCGGGAATCAGAGTGGTCAGAGGTCCCGACTGGGCGGGGAGAGATCAAGATGGCGGCGAAGGTCACGTGGGAACGGTTGTGAAGATAGAGGATTCTGATTGGGCAAAAGGCAAAGTGTCCGTTATCTGGGACAGTGGCCGAGAGTTCCAGTACCGGGCAGGATATGATGGCAAGTTCGAGCTGCTGGTGTTTGACTCAGGTCCTACAGGTATGATACTCGTGTACATATGAAGATGATTTCTTGAACTCTGCTCGTTGACAACGTACTGTTGAGCAGTGACATTTGAAAAAATATCCTGCCCAAAATTCAAACATCTTTATTACCCTGGTGTGTAAAGCTGTGATGTTTTCAATGAAATATAGAAATATTCAGAGTTTTAGAACATATTATCTGTACAGTTGTATTTTGCTGTTTCCGATTAAAGGCAGCTATCACACATGCACAACAGTGAGTGAGTGAAGTCAGCTCAACGCTGCTTTGAGCAATTTTCCAGTTATATTACGACATGTAAGCTTTACGCGGAAGGAAAGTTCAATGCAGTTCTCCGACTTTACTACTTTAAAAAGATCCACCAGCAGGGTATGGTGTTTATAAACCCAGAAACACAATCAGGGCGAATCGATATTCGAAATCTCAAACCGTAGGCTCCTGGTTTGACCAAGGGACGCAACTCATAGTTCATAAGATGACTGGGGATCCTGGGTCCACAATACCATTATAAATGACATACCTTTATTGAAAGGAAGATTTATTCAATAAAAGCACAGATCACCACAATATTAAATTTTACTTCCTGAATTGTTTTACGAGATGAGATTAATTAAGATTTACCTCTGACGTGCAGGAATCGAATTTTATTATTATTATTTTCACCTTTTAATCCTCTAGAATCAAAAATGCATTCTGTGTTAAGTTACAGTTATGTTTGCATCTTACTAACATGCCTTTGTATATTGTCCAGGAGACCAAGTGAAAGGCGCCCAGTGTGATGGATGTGGAGAAGTTAACATTTCAGGGATGATATGGACGTGCTCGACATGCACGAACTTCATCCTGTGCACCCTTTGTTACAACACAGAACGCCACGACACAGACCACGCCTTCCTCTGCAGTCTCACCATCAACTCACCACTGTGAGTACGCGTCTCAATGTCACGCATACATAATCTTGTGTTGTTAGCAATTTCTCCAGCGAGTTGTGTTGGAGAGGTATATATCTAGGGACTTTTATAGATAACAAACATATTTCAGTCTCCATATTTGCCATAATGTAATCAGTTATATCGAGGGCATCATCACGGAAGTCATGAGCCCTTTTGCGCTTCAGCAGATGACGCTCATTTCTTTCTTTCGATATCGTGTGATACTGGGGTCAGGGTTATTCTGTCTCACAGTCCCTGAACCATATTATTTTCCCTATAGCCGAGCCCTCCCTGCAATACTAAAACCCTAAATGAAGCAAGTCTAGATTTCCCCAGGTTCTGAATCTCTCTCCCTGGGGCTCCTTTTTAATTTATATGGATTTATTATTAATAAAATCCACCAGCAGGGTATGGTGTTGATAACCCAGAAACACAATCAGGGTGAATCGATATTCGAAATCTCAAACCGTAGGCGCCTTGGTTCATCAAGGGAGGCAACTCATAGTTCATAAGATGACAGAAACAAAAATGTGGCGGATATTGTTCCCTTCGCTCTTTGATATTCTTAAATTTGTCACATATGTTAGGATGTGTTAAGTTTCAAAAGGACAATCTACAGTATCTTGTTAATAGTGCTGAATATTCGAGGAGTAATATTATTTATTACTCGGAAATATAGTCAGTGTCAGCAGTTGCCTATCATGCAATATCCAAATATCAAAAATAGTTCATATGGGTGCCTATAAAACCATGCTTTAAATATTTCAGAATTTTTATAAAGAGATGCATGGGACCTTGAATTGAATTACCATCCTCCATGTGGATCAAATACAAAAACTATGTGAGAAGAATAGTGACTTTCTGGAGTAATGGACGGAGTAAAATATAGTGTATTTCTTAATTATGAGAACATTATTTGAAGTTTTGTTACAACATAAATTATTATTCTTCGCATATATTGGTATATTTTAGGAGTAATATTACAACTGTTATTTTGATTAATTCACTGGAAATGATAGCAAGGTATGTTTTAAGATTCTTTCTTTCTTAAGTAAATGTGGGCGGGTAATAAAATAAATAATAATCTAATCAATTATAAATAATTATTTAATTGATTGACATATCCTATTCATATGATTTTAAAGCAGAACTAGGCAAACAAACACTATGCATATTATGGCAGGACAATCACTTGGTATTAACTTAGTTTGTTGGCTCCTGCTTTTAGATATTTTTGTTAAATAATATATTTACTAATAAGATAATTCTAAAAGTGATTGCTAGTTATCAAAGTTATTTCAACATTCAGAGAATCTGAAAAAGCAAAGTCTACGATTCGGTCACGCCCTGGTCAGGCATTATCCAGTCCTGGAACAGAATAACATTATTAAGTTACAAAAATCTCAGTTGACTTTTCTTGTAACGGAATTAATATTGAAACATAAATTAACCTAGATTTGATGTTATTCGATCTTCTTATAAATCATCAGCTTTTGAGGAGGTTACTAATATTTGAAGACTGAGCCAAAGCTAGTGTTTATTAAGATGTTGGTTTTGGACAAATTGTTCAAGGTTTGTTGATGGTTATGTGGAAAATGAGCTTCATATTAAACTGCACAATGGTTTGTAGGAGGTGAAAGCTTCAGGACAATTTTATGTGTGTTTTCCTAAACTTTTGTAACGACTTTTACCAAATTTTGAATCAACTTACTATAATTTTCAGGACACTAGTAAGTATCTCAAAAAAGGAAATAGTGTTATTAATGTTATGTCTCAAGGGATATATTCTCAGATCTGATAAAACAAAGATTATCATTGTTTAAGAAGCAATAATGTCAATATGTAATTGTATTGACGAGAAGCTTTGAACTTAGGGTATATTGTTTGCACCTTATTTACACTAGTAGTTAGCAGTGAAATATCTCTGATGAAAAAGCATTGTCTTTTATTTTGTATTTTCTGTAACATTCTATTTCAATGCTAGTTCTTTGTTCGGATAACTGTGGATCCTCTTTTCAAAGATTTGGCATCATAGGTTTCCTATTTCTGGAACATGGGTCAGTGTACAGGTGCAGACTGTATCTGGGATCTTCTTTGTGTTCTGATGCTGTGGCATACCTATACATAAACGCTGGCAGTTCAGGAAGTCCAGTATTGTATAACAACTCTGTCCTTCCAAGTCACTTGTAATGATGACCCGAGGTCATGCGCGTTAATTGCGCTCTGACCTAACCGGTAAGCTGTTACGTTTACTGCGACCACATCCTGCTTCTTGAGACGTAAACAAACAGAAATTTCAATGATAGTTACTTAAGTAACTTTTTCCCCAAGTGACCAACAAAATTTAAACTATTTTTTTCTTATTACGTCAAAGGGGATCATTAAGATATACGTTAATGGCATGTGGTCAGTTGGTGTTATTAGGAAGATATTTCACAAAAGGGTTCCCCTGTTCCGCACCAAATGTCACCTACTTGAACATATCTGTACTCACATTAAGCATAAGTCATGGTTGTTGAAAATGACAGCACTAAATACTTAAAGCTGTGGTTAGTTTTTGAAAAACATAAAAGTCTTACACTATTTCATCCAATCACAGCTGACACATGTCTCTATCACTTCAGATGTTTACAAACGCTATTCGCTCAAGGAGCTTATGCTTCTGATTTAGTGTATTGGAATCTGTAGGAACATTAGGAAACATCTGACGTAGGCAAATCTGTGATTCATGTATTGTATATACATGTAGCTTCTCAGAAAAAATTATCGGATGAAGCTTCAAAAGGTTTTCTTGTCCTACATGTCTATATGCCACAAGAGAGCTTTGAGAGTTTATGTTCATTTCATCAATGCTTTGGAAAATGTATTTTTGCATTAATATAGAAAATTAATAATCATACATATACCATGGGACTTTACTCATATTTCACACTAGAAGGCTGTCATGGGTTAATGACTTGGGCTGCCTAGATCATATCAACCCAAAATATATTATGAACGACAAAAATCATGGAATTCAGGCCAGAAATTGGATAGGTTTCACATTAAGCAGCTTTAACATCCTAACATATGAAAGGCTGGATGATGAACTTTGCCAGAAAGTTTAACGAAAGGGGTTGGATTATACCCAGCAGTCTAAAACACTCATTAGAGAACCCTACCACGTGTTAGGCGAGGAAGGAAAATGACTCCTTAAACAGATGGAATCGTTTACAGCACTCAGCATGGTAAGAACTTACACTTGATTTTATTGATTCCTCAAACTAAGACTTTGAAATACTTCCAGGAAATCAAAATGATTACTCTGTACCGTCAATATTGATACAGGTTAGTGTAGTGGAACCTGGAACCTGTAGGGAGGATTTCTGCGGTGATCTCAAAACGAGACTTGTGGTTATTCATGGCAGCCTGAATGCTCGAAGATACAGAGTTAAAGTTTTGCGACCAGATGCGTTGCCATTTATCTTGTTTCGCCGTGATCAGCATGTTCTCCCGAAATGAATCCGAACACCTGGATCGACACATCAGAAGACTACCAGCGCCTCCTGTCACCGCTCAACAACTGGAATAATTCCTGCCAGCAATGGCAACGGATCACGCCTAACGTCATTCGTCGTCTTACGTCATCAATGCGTCCACGTGTTTTGAAGCCAGTGGTGCTCACACTCACTATTGATTCAACATTTGATGACATTTTGCAGAAAAAACGCTTTGTTGATTTGTATAAAAGTTCAGACTACGACACCACGTGTGTTTTAGTGTCAGTCAAACCGTACGTTCGACTTTGTAGGAAATGAAACTGTGTACATTTGCTGTTGAATTGAATAGTTACTCTATTGAAATTAAACAGATGTTCCTTTATAAAATGATATTCTCTTCTGTTTAGGTTTGGTCAAACACACTGTATACTTTCTTTTGAGCACTTGTTTTATATGAAAACAAAAAGTTTAAAGGCTTACTGGAATGACCTAGAGGATCGAGCTGATGTGAAAAACCAATCTGCTTCTATTCATATTTTCAGGGTGCGCGTGCCGCCTCGTTCTGGCGCTCAACGAGTACGCGCTATTGGTCTATTCAAGAATGCAAAGGTCATTCGTGGACCGCACTGGAAATATGAAGATCAATACGGTCAGTTTTGAAGCATGATTCTGCTTGCAATTGCATGAAAGTGAAGTGTTAGTTGTACACTCCATATTTGTTTGCTGATACAATGACGCGTCATTCTTTACCAGCAAATTGATGATAAGTTGCACTGTTGTGTGCTTTCAAAAGGATAGTAACCGGAGAGTCAATATTCCGTGAATGTTTCACGAGTCTAATAAGGCAAAAGCTTAACCTATAACCAGTTCATCATTCTCACATAAGCGAAGGTCATGTTTCATTATCAATATCTATATTCGAATGGTCAGTTTCTCAGTGTTGTATATGACAAACGCCTGTGTCAGTTTCAATATTTATATCCGAATAAATGGTTCTTCAATTCAATATAACTTTAGAGCCTGTATCAATATATACGCTCCCGTATACGTCAGGTCAGGTAAGGTGTATCAATATCGATATATGTTTCCGAATGATCAGTTTACCAGTATTAACATCAGCATCTGTCGTTAAGACAACCGTTACTTCCATCTTTTAATACACACCTTTGTCAGTCGTTGTATTAAGTACCCTTTGTTGTAAGGGGGCCTCGATATAAGGGCGATCTTACCTTACGGTTACATTTGTAAATTTGATCAAGTCTTGACCTGTAAATAAGCATAGAATCATCAGCTATATGACTTCGATCTGCACATAATCGAATCTGGACGAGCCAAACCGGTGATTAACAAGAGCATCAATGTACACAACTGGGATACGATGACATGTGTCAACCTAATCAGCGACCCTGACCACCCGATCCCGTTAGTCGCCTCTTACGAAAGGCATGGATTGCTGAAGACTAGTTCTAGAATCTTCAGGAGATATTCTGGTGCACAGAGAATATCCAACCATGTCATGTCTGTGGTTTCT